GGCCTAAAATAATTTTCCTTAAAATACCTGGGATGGATATTTAGAGGACCAAAAAGATCCAAAAATTTTTTCGATATTTATGTTATTGTTGAGGTGAAAGCGAAATTATATGATTTTGATCATTCACAAAAACAAATCTCTCCATGGACCCATGTGAGGATCATCATTAAAATAACTCTTAATATTCCACTTTTGGATTTAATTTTGACTCAAAACAATGTGAACGATTGGTGATTTATCAAATGACTATCCAATTTACAAAATACTATGTCTTTATAACCCACCCTTCGATCTAAGGATATGTCAAATCTCGGAATTGAAAAAAAAATTGAATATATAGCTAAATTTTTATTCAGAGGATATAAAATGTATCATCTGATGACAAAATTAATTTTAGAATTTAAATGGAAACAAAAGGATTCATTATCACTAATACTAAACCTCAGCCTGATCAAAAAGGCAACTTACCTACCAGAGTTGTTAAAAGATACTTTTTAAATGGATCTAGATACAGATACATCGTCTAAAATAATATCTGGATACTTAATCAAAAATCTATCTAGATACAGATACCACATTTTTCTATCTAGATACAACTTGTATCTAGATCCTTTAACAACTCTGTTACCTACTATATATTTATTTTGAAATACATATATAATACCTTTTGAAATCTCTTTAGACGCATTTTTTTTTTAAAATTTCTAAAGATATTCGAATAAATATTTTTGATGATTTTTCTTATACATAAAAAAATATGTAAGGGGAACACCGGGGATCTTATGAGCCCGGGGTTCCTGTGAGCCTTGAGATTTTCTTCTAGAGAACTCTAATGATTAATTTTTTTTAGCCAAAATATGTATAACTACATTATGAATTTTTATTTAAATATCGGATACCATTAATTTTTTCATTATCTCGATATATGATAGTATTTTCTAAAAAAAAATGCTACAATACAATTTATCGAAAATATAAATAAATGATGAAGGTTTTAATTATCCAATAACTATCTTATCTAAAAGATGGCCTCTATTATATATAAAATTATTCTTTTATTTGAACAAAAAAATGTTTAATCTTGCAAATTTAATGTCACTTATATGTACCAGAATGTACTGAAATTCGTGTTTATTCAAATTCACTCACCAAATTTATAAATTATTTTATATTTAACATAATTAATATATCGACCTCCAAATCAAAAGACTTTTTGCTAAATATCAGGATATTTCAATCTAAAAAAAATATACTTAAAAGCTGGGTCAATGCCGAATTCCGACATGTTTCGATAATTAATAGATTCTAACTACGAAGAAATGGACGCTGAGCGTATGAATGACTGGCGTGTCGCAGTATATTTGTTTAGGATGTAATGTCAAATCAATAATTTTTATTTTGTGAAATACGAAAATAATTTATCATCGATTGTTTTTAATTCAAATCCGAAAAAATTTTTTTCTTTTTACTACGTAACATTAAAAAAATTTATCAAATGAGATATAAAAGTTTTTATGATTGACTGACTATTAAGTGTACATGTGACATGTTAGCTTCGATGCGTTATTTTTTAAACTTTAAAACATTTTTTTTGAGAACGCTTTTTTAAAGATATGTTTTGTTGTAATAATTAGAATGGTATTATTTTTGTTTTGCATTTAATTAAATAGTTTGTGTTCATATAAATTTGAATAGTACGGAAATTATATTTTTATGTATAAAGTTGAATATGTAAGGGTTCATGAAAAATTTGAATACGTATACAACGAAAATATATGACGTAAATTTTAGTAATATAAATATAGAGATAAAAAAAATGTAATATTAAGAAGAATATTTATTATACTTTTTTATATTTTTAGTTTAATTTATGTTATTTTAGATTTTTGATTATATTAAATAAATTGACATCTTCAAATTGTGTGTTCATATTAAATATGTCAACGTATAATATGTATCACAAAAAAAAATAGTAAATATTTCTTAACTTATATTAAAATATTAATTTATATATTTTTTTAAAATAATAATTGATATAAAAATTTCCGTAAGATGGCGTTAAGTGTTTTAAATTTAGATTATTTCGAATACGCAAGGTGGAAATAAGCGCGGTTAAATTCTGACGAGTTTTACTTAGGATATTCTGCCTGGATCTTTATAATTATAATTTGGCTCAAAAAAGTATCTAATAACGGTTTAATAAAAATGAGAGATTATCCTCATTTAAATTTTTTAATATCTTTCAGACCTGCAGGCCCGGCCCTAAGCCCGGCTAGGCCAGACCCAGGCCGTATTTTAATTTTTTTTAAAAAAAAGATATCCGGGTCGAGCCGTATATTTTAAAAACCAAATATTTGAAATCGCCATTTTTAGCTGCAAAAATCAGAAATAAATAAAAATATATTTAAAAAAAAAATTCTAGCCAGGCCGGAAAAAAATGTTTGAAAAAAAATATCCGGACCGGATAAATGGTACCTCTTTAATCTGTAGATAAGGCAGAGACACCATTTTAACGGCCCGGATTTTATATATTCAGGCCCGGATCGGATTTTTTTTAAAAATATAATTTTGAATGTTATAACCAGAGTTGTTAAAAGATAGTTTTTAAATGGATCTAGATACAGATACATCGTCTAAAATAATATCTAGATACCAATATTTTAATCAAAAATCGATCTAGTTACAGATACCACATTTTTATATCTAGATACAGAATCTAGATCTTTTAACAACTCTGGTTATAACTAATAATGGTCATTTAAAATATTTGGTTTTAATTTTAAAATATAAGACCCGGTCTGAATATTTTTTTAAAAAAAATTAAAATACCGCCTGGCTTAGGGGCAGGCCTGCAGAGGTCTCTGATATAAAGGATAATAAAAAAACAGTTTTTCTTTGCATTCCTACGGATAGTATATGATATGGTAATATAAATACCTAACTCCATTTTTTAAAAGCCAACTCATTTTAATTTTATTTATATCTTGATTAGAGCTAATTATGAATTTACCCGATTACCCATTCATTCAATTAAACGTATAACAAAAATCGGATAATGGGTGAGGGGGGGGGGGTTTTTTAAAAAATAAAAATTTGTACATAAACAAGTGCAGAGTGGCCATAATCATTATTCCACCCTTGTAAAATTATGCAGAGTTGTTAAGGAGCGGGCTACATTTTTTCAAAAACACCTGATTGGGGAGCGGGAGCTAGCTCCTTTTAGGGCTGGAGTGGAAGAGGGCCGCTCCAGCGTTCCTTTAAATTTAATGTATAAATTAAATTATTTTTTTAAATATTAATTATTAATTAAAATTCAAATAAAAATGAAATTTTATTTAATTTAAAATTATCCATCATTAAATGTTTATAGCCGAGTTTTATATTGGTTTTTCATCTAATCATTTTAAATATTAGTAGACATCAAGTTTTACCTTTTTATATTGAAAATTTTTTTGGAAAATCTTGTAAGTCATATTAATATTCATTCTATAGATATATAATAAAAAATAGTTTTTAGATATTATGGATTTAGAGATCATGGATGAAGAAATCGAATTTCCATTTCCATCGTACAAAAAATATTTTAAACTTCTAAAAGATGTTGATCCAAATGATCAAGCAAATTTAAGGGCAAAATGTCTTTTGTGTTTAAAAAAAAACTATTTAATTTTCAAGCATCTAAAAGTAAAAAATCTTTCTTTAAAATACAAATTGATTTGGAAGATTTTTTTGGATTCCATGAAATTGATCATCAGGAAGATAATATATGGACAAATATTTTTTAAATCAAAATTACTATTTTCGATAAATTCCCTGAATTAAAAAATATCTTTATAAAATTCAGTACCTAGCTTCCCTCTAGTGAGTGCCTATTTAGCATTGCAAAACAGGTTTTAGGGGAGAGGCGTGGATGTTTGTTAGATTCTAATTTAGAAAATTTATCACTTTTAAAGGCTAATAAAAGGTTATAAATATTTTGATAGATCATTTAATATATAAATAAAGCTTCTTGATAAAAAAAAATATATGATTTTGTTTTGTAAACCTTCTAAAATAATGAAAATCAAAGGAACGGTTATGGAGTGGCACTCCATTATTTGGAGCGGGAGCTAGCTCCTTTTAAAAATGTAGTAGCGGAAGCTGGAGCTAGCTACTTTTAAAAAGGAGCGTTACAAACTCTGAAATTATGATTAAATTCTTATTTCTCCCCCCAAAAAAAATAATATAAAAATGCCGGGATTAAACTGACATTGGCAAAAGAAATTTCCAGACTCTTATTTTTGATCTTAAGACAACAATCATGCACGGGTGCCAGTCCTGCTCAGAGTGGCCACAATCATTATTCCCCCTCAATGATTAAATTCTTATTTCTCTGCACAAAAAAAAACTAATATAAAAATGCCGGGATTAAACTGACATTGTGGTAGAAAATGGTGTTGTTAAACAACGCAACATTATAGCTAGGAAAATAGTGTTTAAGCGTTGAGATTTCTCCAATAAGATGTTCATTCCTATGTGCCATCTATGAGAGAAATCTTTAGGTTTGCATAATATTTTTCTGGATAAAATATTGAGTTTTAGCCGTTTTTAAAAATCGGCTGAGCCGTTTAACCACACTAGTACAAAGAACTTCCAGCCTCTTATTTTTGATCTTAAGACAAATCAATCATGCACGGGTGCCAGTCCTGCTCAGAGTGGCCACCGTCATTATTCTCCCCCGGTAAAATCATGATTCAATTTTTATTTCTCCTAAAAATAAAAAACTAATATAAAAATGATCATTTTGGAAAAAAAAAAAATCTTCTTTTACATTTTTTTTGCGATAAATATAATAAAAAAAAATTATTTTACTATTATTATAAAAAAAAAAAAATTCGTTTCTAATTATAAAATAATAAAAATAAATAATTTCATAATTTATAAATAATATCTATATTTATAAAATTGTATAAAATAATAAAAATAATATATAAATTATTTTTCAAAAAAAAAACACTTTGTTTTTATATATTTTGTTTTTTTTTTAAATTATATTTTTATAAGGTAAAAAAAAATCTATAAAAAACATATAAAACGAATAAAACCTTCTTTTTTTTTAAAAAAAAACATGATTTTAATTTTTTCAGTAAACCAATAAAAAAAAAATTTACAAGGTTGACGTGGTTCATGATTGCGTTTTTTTTAAATGGAATGGCTAAATTTATAAAATATAATTTTTCTCTAAATAACGCGTGGATGGGTGATCAAGTCAGAGCGAAGTCTTTCAATCGAATCGAACGGTTTCAGTTCCACAACTTTTTTGGCGATATTGCACCTACCCTTAAACTCGTTACCAGCTGACGACTGTATGGTTAGAAAAAGAATGAAAAAATAAACAAATTTAAATAAAAAATTAATAAATTAACAAATAATCGCGTCGTTAAGAAGCTCATAACCCTATCGAGATTTAAAAACCAAAATGGCCGCCCAAACAAGGAAAAATAAATGGTTCAAAAAAAATCAGCTGATTTTGTTTCGATCGGTCAGCTACTAGAAAATGAGCTGAATTTAGCAAGATTTCCTACACCTAGATTCAATAAAAAGAAGACCAATATTTACAAAAACCATATCCGTTCTCAACCTCCTCGCTAATAGTGCACAGCACACCAATTGAGCGTTTACGTTTGGCCGTCATTTTTTAAATAAAAAAAACGTAACGCGTCCCTTGTTTAAATTGATGTTTTTAAATAAGTTCTAAAAAAAATGAATAAGGATTTGTTTTTTGAAAATTATATTTATCGTCTGCCTTCTTATTTCTTCTAATTTTCCAAATATTTCCCCTTTTTTTAGGATTATAAGTAAGTTATTTATATTACATTTTTATATTAATGTATAGGTAATGCAAAAAGCTAACCTGTTTCCGTTTTTTTTAAAAAATGGTTGCTAACGCCAAACGGTAATTTTCACCAATTTGAAAGAGGCGATTTGAAATGCATTATTTGCGCTTGTAAACGCGGCGTTTAAAAACGCTCAATTTGTGGGCACTATCAGACCCGCCTTTTCTACCATTTCTTTCCTGCCCTCTTTTATACTTGAATATAGAATTAACTAAACCCCCCCCCCCCCTCTCTCTCTCTATTATTTATTCCAGTCCAACAGATGACATCTAAGAGAAATCGCCATTCTTGTCATTTTCTCGTTTGGATCATTGTAGTTAACTCTCTTAGGAGGGTGGTGGGAGTTGGGGGAGGGAGGGGGGGGGGTGTCAACAGGAACTAAAGAAGGATCGTTTCAAATGCTAAATTCCAAAATCGATATCCGTAAATATATCAACATTCCCAAATTAGGACCATGCTGATTCATATTACCTTAACGCATTTTTTAAAACTCTAGATTTTTGTTTATTTAATTATCTCATCTACTTTATTGTCTAGCTTAATCCTTAACATCACGTGTCTTGCTTATTTTATTACTGTAAATGTATTGAAAAATAGAAAAATAATATATATATAATAAATATTAAAGATTAACCCTGGTCGCTTTGGCCGGGGACTTGCTACGAATCAATAAAGGTTCTATCTGTTCCTCCATAAAACAACTCTGTTTATTTACATATGGTCAAAAAAATAATTTTTTATATAAGATTTAAAAATTTAACGCGAATTGCTGGTTCTTTTTGTTAACCTAAATCCGGTGGTCACTTTTGGAATTACTTATAATTCGTATACGCGTTTTCGCCTACCCCCCCCCCCCCCCAAATAGCGTGACGCGCATCCATTTTTTATATTTAATTTCAGGTGTTCATTTTTTTTCTTAGCAGTTTGTAACGCGTTACTAGATAACATTTAAGATATTTGAGACGGTCCAAATATAATATAATTGGTAATAGAATATATGCTGGAAGGGGGGGGGGTACCGTAAACCTAACGCAGATTTAGAATAAAGTTTAGACTTTTAAAAAAAACTCAATAAAAAGTTGTTAAACATCACAAAATCATAAAACCTTATCTTTATAGGAACGAATAGAATCAAGGTCAGAATGCGCGGTGGAATATTTGGCCTTATCGCCAGAATGAGCGCTATCGCGTCGCATCAATTCGTTAACGATACCGTGTAAACAAGAACTGAGGAAAAGGGGGTATTCCACATTTTCCAAGTGGAACCATTCGAATTCTTGGTTCGGCGTGAGATATTGAAACGAAAATTTGTAACGGACCCTATTGGTGCACTTCGTTTAACATATAAAAAAAATGACTAAACTAGCGATGAAACTGTAATTCTATAAATAGCGAATCCGCAAAAACTGGCCAATCAGCTTCGAACATCGCGATGACCGACATTGTCCAAGCCTAAAAATATTTAATACGAGACTAAATGGTAAGCACCATCCTAACCCTATATTTAAAATTTTTAGGCTGATTCCAAGGTTTCTCGGGCAGATTCTGTGGACACTAACTATGCGAGTCATTCAAATTAAGAGGCATGATTTATTCGGTATATAAATTTATCGAATGAGAATTATAATGTTCTATGACAAAAAAAATTGGTGTTATTTAATACAAAAGATACAATAAGTCCTAAAGTAAAATGGCAAACACTAGATACTTTTTGGATCTAGATACCGTACATTCGCGATAATCGTAAATAAGATTCTATTATAATTTTAAAATAACTTTTTTAAGATATGTTAAATAATCCCCCAAAATTTTTTAAAGGTATATTAAAAATTTTCAAAAAATGGTGGTTCATTTACATAATGTTTAGCATTATTGTGATTCGCCGGTCTTTGTTGAGTGACGTGATCAGGTAAATTTTCTGAGGTCGTGGGAGAGCTCGAAAAAACTGGAGTCGCGCCCGGATAGGAAGATATCCTCCAGCTTTTAATTCTGCACGTCTTGAAGAATAGCACATCTTTATCGTATTGGCCAGAATTATGTGTGCTATCATCGGTATGTAGATTTGATTTGCGGTAACTTCCGTTGGCAATGAGTATGGCATCACTACCAGCAACTGGATGATGACCATTAGTAAAATTTTCTGTAATGGCTTTAGAATGGCTACACAGTTTTTTGTCCCTATTACTGTAACCATTTAAATCCTTCGTGTCATGATTTGAAGCAAGATTTTTGGCTTGACAAAAGATGAGCAAACCATTCAGTCCCAGGTGCAAAGTTTCGCATCGAAGACTAGGTCCGGCGTTGTGACCCGTCGTTATTTTGAACTCGTTGATGCCGGTCTGAGTTAGAGGTAAAAAACCGCGGGAAAGTGGACCTTCGTAATTGTTAATAGCCTCACGAGCCCGCGTGGAATACGAAGGAGATGAAGCAAGGTGGTCCGACTATATACATCATACAAAAGAAAAAGTGATTAGAGAAAGAAAAATAAAAAGAAATAGGAAGAAAATAAAATATATCATTTAACATTATAAAGATAATTTATGTAATTGTACCTTGGAGATTTGAGAAGCCTTCAAGAATCCATCATTCCACAGCTTTGAATAATATAAAAAATTTATATTACATTTTATATTTTTACTTTCTTTCTTTCTCTCTTTCTTTCTTCTTTTCTTTCTTTCTTCCTCTCCATCATATTTATGATACCCATAATAAACCATGATTATAATCTAATCCAATCTATTTTCACTGATACAATAATAACTACAAAAAAGCATACTTGATAATATAATATTTCTGCCGTTTTTTCAGAAGATGTAATGTATCCATCCAATGCACAATCCCAATAACTATCGAGATTAATGAAAAATTTAAACTTAAATTATTTTCTGTATTCATTATTTTTTTTATTTCATTCATTTATTCTTTTACGTATACATTTTTTTTGGCAATGGTTTTTAAATATAAAAAAAAATACAACATCAATAAGTTAAACTTAGTTCTTATAAGAATGTAAGGTCCACTGAGCCCCATGGAATTACGATACTCTTGATTGCACGTACAAGTCAAAGTCTGAAGTGCCAAGTAAGGACATTCTGTGTCAGTTAGCCTATTGATATCTGTGAATATATATATTGAGGATTTCTGATATGAAAGAAAGAAAGAAAGAATTTAATCTCTAAAACAAGAAAAATCGTATAGGAGGTTCAGTGGGGCGTTTAAACGTTCCATGCCTATTTGTACCCAATTTTAATGTAGGTGCAAAATTTCATAGGATTTTATTTTATGCACTATCATACAAGATATTAGTTTTTTTTGAGGTTTCTAAATAAAAAAAAATACCATATATTCTTGAATTATATATTTTTTATAACAACCAAAGATATTAGTAAAAATAGAATAATCAATATTTCATGTTTAGTAATAATAAATATCATTAAATTTTTATATAAATCTTAGACCCTTACAAAAATCATAACATTTGTTGTTACAAAATAAAATTATAAATCTAATATGTTCGTAGTCGTGAAAATATGTGAGCAAAATGTTAGCTTGATGCCTACAAAGCTGGTTGATATATGCGATTAAATTTTTGGGGGAAAAAAATACCCAATCTTATTTTTTGAGAAACTCTTTACATCTTACCTCTTGGGGAGTATAACCTAATGTATAAAGGGATTTACATATGACTTTATGTTCAGCTGCATCATCTTTGTGTCCCAAATTTTTAAGATTCATTAGAGAGCTAGTCTTGGGAGAAGGGCAGTGTAAATAAACAAGGTAAAGGCCAAGATAGGACAAATATTGATTCAAAATATTGGTGTTTTCTGCATATAGCTGTAATTAAAATGTATATTACAATCAAATATTAAGATTTTCAGAAGATAAATTTGTATAATGGATGTAACATATGGAAAGAAAGGTATATCTTTTTGAACTTATGCAATAAATATTGAGTTATGTGCCAAGATCCTTTCTCAAAAATCCAAAATCATGTTATATATGGCTTAAATTAATACCATAAACAAAATATGCATCCTTTTTAAAATAATAACAATATAAAAATAATAATAATGATGAAATAAGATAAAATATAACCTTGATAATATTATTTGTGTTGAGATTTTTGCAGATGTGCGTGGGAATTTTGATATATTTTTGAAATGGGGGTTTTAGTGAATAATATATTTGTAAATTGGCCTGAGATAATGAAGCTCCATTTTGATTGTTTATAATTGCATTGTTATTCTAAGATATTGAGAGGAAATAATTATTTTAACAATTTATAAGTTGTAGATGTTACTAATGATTGGATTGTGTTGGCAGATATATGCATAATATCAATAAAGAGATTGTGAAATTCCTTAAATATTTTATAAATATTACATAAATGCATGAATATATCCAAAATTAATATTTTAATAAAGAAAGTGTATGCTATCATAAATAAAAATTATAATAATAGTAAAATATTACAATATGAGAATCAAGCAAAATTTGTTGTACATATTCATCTTCTATAATCGATGAATTTTGAGTAACTATATAAAAAAAATTAAATATAAATATCAATATAGCAAATGTTATACTTAGTTGTAAAAATTTTTCCAACATTTCGCGCCTCTCTTCAATCTCATAATCGCTCATCAATATATTTTTTGAAGGAAAAGAAGGCAACTTTATTGAATTGCCATATTTCAGTTTAATCTAAATTATAAACTATATGTAATAAAAAAAAACTTTATGTAAAAATCTTAACTGTTGAATAGAATTCACGGAGTTTCCTATACCTTAAACTTGAATGAGGTAAGCCATTTAAATACAATATATATGACTATTTTTGAATAAATTAATTATATCAATATAATATGTAATTCTTACGGTATAACTGCTATTACCCTCTTTCAATTTTTCAATATCAGGAATAGAAAAATGCATTTTAAAAACTGGTCAGCCCACCCCTTTAAAAAGATCAACCAAATTTATCATATTTTAAAAATATCTAAACATATGAAATTTATGCGACATCTGTCAATTTTGAAAGCGGATTAAAACAATTATGTTTTTTTTCTATTTGTATTTTAATTATTAGATGTATATTATTTTTAATGCGTATTAGATAGTATTTAACAGTGTTGTCATAATGATTGACCCTCCCCCCCCTCCAATTTTTTGTTTTAGTGCAAATTTCCTTTTAAAAAATTATATTACACTAATTCTCAATTTTAAATTAAATAATTATTTCTATAACAAAGTATTTAATAATTTAATTTGTATATTATATTTATAAATTTGAACTAAAATAATATATTTATGAAAATTTTTGGAATGTAAATCCAATCAATCATCTGATCGAAAATAAATGAGTGATATAAATGATATATATCGCTTATGTAGAATATTTTTTCACATAAAGCCTCTGTCAGTGGATGTTTTTTACACATCTCATTAGGCTGCTTAAGAAATAAATAGAAAATCAATTAATTTATTTCATAAAAGTGAGTAATTATTTCATAAATTTCGTTTATTTTAAATGAATTTTTATAGTGATATATTGAATATAGTTATGAGTAAATGTGAGGTGTGGGAAATGCAGGGAGAAATTTTTTAAAAGTTTAATAAAATACTTACGAGAAGGCAAATAGATAAAGACCCCGCTACGCCTATAAATAACCTGTCCTTATAATAATTTTATATAAACATAAAAAAACTAACCTCATCTATATATAAATAGCTATTTATATTCAATTATTTAAAATATATAGATAAGAAAAATTATTCAATTCATGAATTTTGAATTATAAAACAAATAGTAACATTTTGTTCGAATTATTCGTATTACAAATAATTGAATAAATCCAAATTATACGAATATATTTGTATTGTTTATATATATTCGTAATATTTATAAATTATTAATGACAGCTCATTGAACAAGTATTTAATTCTGGCAGTATAAGTTGTATATAGTTATATCATTGCAATTCCATCTATAATACCAAATTAATTTATACACAAATTATAATAAAATAAATCAGAACGAGATAAAATAACGCTGGTTAGTCGATCCCTTTTGAAGAAATTTATCTTTTTTTTTTTAAACATGGATCCATTTTTTTTTCTATTTGCAAAAATCCTGACTCCAGTTAGAATTTAGTGTAAACCCATCTCAAAATTTAATGCAAAATAAATGAATATTTAAAATATGATTATTTATATTTGGCAAACAATTATTTTAAAATTGTTGTATAATAATATTTTAAATAAAAATATAACGCATATATTTTTCATATTCATAATTTTTTTTTAAATTTATTCTAAATATATTTTATAAAAAGATCGAAGGATTGAACCAGTGGCGTAGCTACGGGGGTGGTTTTCGGGTTTGGACCCCTCCCAAAGCAAAAATTTATTTTTAGATTATACGTTCAAAAACTTACAAGTGGTGACTCTATATCAAATAAATACCAATAATATTTTTATTTTTCTGGTTTTGATGTTTGTGGAAGGATTTTATATTACTATTAAAATTATTCTAGATAGTATTATTATAAAGATTGAGAATAATCTACTAAATTATAAAACAAATTATTGATGCATTTAAAAAAATATATTTATTATATATTATCGAAGATATGGTTATGATTTGTAAGATAAACTCCGGCCGAAGGCCGAGGCAAAAGAGGCCCAAGGGGGCGAAGTCCCCCAGGCTTTTATATGTATGGACTCCTCTAAGGAAAATTCCTAGCTAGCCACTGGATTGATTGATTAATAAAAGGAATTCGATCACGATTCTCATTTTTTTAGGGATCCTCAACCAGCACAATTCCCCAGTGTCAAAATTTAAATATTTAGTAATTCCATTTTAATCAAGTTTAATTAATTGCAAAAAATTAAAACATAGACTGTTAATGTTTATAATTTATTAAATTACTCCCATTTTACCAGACTGGACGCTAGATTGCCTATCAAAGCAAAGCAATAAAACATCACTTTTTATTCGGGATGTGGAACGGAACTTGGAAATTTTTTTTATAGGATTTTAAAGAAACGTGAATAGTTTAGTGAACCTTTCTAAAAAATATTATTAAAAATTTATATCTAATATATAATTATATTTAAATATTTTATAATGATAAGTTTTTCTTTCTTCATTTAATTTCAAATAACGAAATAATTTTTCAATTTAGTAATTGTGTGATTTTAAGATTATTATTACATTTTTTTTTAAAAAAATCAAATTTTAAATGTTTATGGTATTAAAATTATGAAAGGTATTTTTAGGGACAATCAAATTTATATTAATCACCACTCAAATGTAAATGAAGATATTTTAGTGAATGTTCAAATTAATTCTTATTGCATTAATAAAACTGAAATATTTTTAAATAGATTATAAAATTGGTAATTTTATTAGGAATGCGTTCCGGAACTTTCCAAAGCGTGGAACGGAGAACGAAACATGATTTGTTGGCCCGGAGTGAGAATGGAACAAGGGACGCTTAAAGGTCTTTGTTTTGAGTGCCTGCTTCCGACATAGAGCCAATTTAGGTATAGAAATCAAGCTATGGGCGGAAATATCCCAACATCATGATTCGGAGCACAAGTTGATTATAAAGCAAGGCATCATTTCCATTGTCTCTTTAATAAGGTATAAACAATAGGGCTGTTAACCTCAACTCGGACCCGTTTAAAAACCTTCGAAATTTTACTGAACCCAAAAGAATTCTTTAGTATAGGGTCAAGAATTTTTTTTAAAATACTTCTCTTCTCTTCTCTTCTCTTCTCTCCTCTTCTCTTCTCTTCTCTTCTCTTCTCTTCTCTTCTCTTCTCTTCTCTTCTCTTCTCTTCTCTTCTCTTCTCTTCTCTTCTCTTCTCTTCTCTTCTCTTCTCTTCTCTTCTCTTCTCTTCTCTTCTCTTCTCTTCTCTTCTCTTCTCTTCTCTTCTCTTCTCTTCTCTTCTCTTCTCTTCTCTTCTCTTCTCTTCTCTTCTCTTCTCTTCTCTTCTCTTCTCTTCTCTTCTCTTCTCTTCTCATTTAGATATTTAAACAATGGGCGGGCGGGTTAAAAAAATTAAAATTTTTTATTTTAATTAATAAAAAATTGTTCTCACGAACTTAAAAAATAAAAAGCCTTTTTCTGGTATAACTTTTTATAAAATAAATCAACTTTTTCTTCAATTAAAAAAACTTTTTCTACAAATAAAAACAAACTTTTTTCTATAAACAAATTAAAATCTCCTTTTATGGTAATGAAACAAAACTTTTTTCTTAAAATATATAATTTTTTAGATATTGAAAATTAAAATTTCCTTTTTTGGGAATAATGAAATTACTTTATTGTGTTATTTTATTTTAGTAATGATTGTTTATCTTTATATTGCCCTTTTTATTTTCATTATTTTCTTATATAATATATAAATATTATTTTTTATAACATAATTTTAACAAAATAATATTTAATTTTAAAATATGAATAAAGAATTGATTGCTAAGAAAATAAAAAATAATTTGTATAAGATAAAAAACAAGATAATAAACTTAAATCGTCTATGTGGAAACAATTTAAAATTATTTTTGATGAAAATGACAAAAAGCTAGATTGGATTCGCTGCAATGATTGCGACTCCATCTTTAAATATAATAGCAAAAGTGGCACCTCCTTCTTCCTTCGGCATCAATGTTTTACTGCAAACTATGAAGATTTGATAGATAATAAAAAAATAACTGGATATTTTGAAAAAGACAATTCTCAATTAAACAAACCGATAAAATCTGGTCTAATAGCGAATTTTGTAGAATAATGCGCTTGAGACATTAGGTATTATTATAATTTAATAAATTATTCTTTTATCTTTTTTAGGCCATTTCAAGCAGTTCAAGGACCTGGATTTATAAATATTTTACAAAGATTTGCCGACTTAGGGGCAACATATGGTAAATTGGACGTTAATAAGATCATCCCTTGTGCTACAACAGTTAGCCGCAACGTATCCAAACGCTACTTCTGAAAGAAAATTTAGCATTGCCGGAAGGAAAGAAGAACGTGTTTGAATTCCGAAAATGTGGATTCATTATTATTTTTGCATTATAATTACTTATAATATTTATTTTATATTTATATTTTATAAATATTTTATTTGATAAAATAAATTATCCATAATTTAAATTGAATATTTTTAAATTATAAAACTTATAGAGATGTAATGTTGAAACTATTTTCATTAGATGCTAAAAATTCTCTTCTCTTCTCTTCTCTTCTCTTCTCTTCTCTTCTCTTCTCTTCTCTTTCTCTTCTCTTCTCTTCCTCTTCTCTTCTCTTCTCGCCTGGGTAAAAATATTTTTATAAAATCCGAACCTTAACTCCATTTTTTTAGAATGTGGATTCAGTCCTGATAAATATATCATGCATAAAATGAATTGATATCAATCTTTGAAAACACTCCCTGATGGAGTATACACTGTTCCCCATGGCACAAAGGAAAACATGTATTGGGACTTTATCTCTATCGAAATTTTCCCCTCTTCTAATAGTAGCTATGATTCATTCGGAAAGTCTTTTAGAGAAAAAAAAGGCAACTGAAGAGTCTGATTCCCCCTTCAAGCTTATTAGTCATAGGATACCCAAAAACCCATTTTCACAAGAAGGCATTTAAGATTAATACAAAAAATAAACTAAAAAATAATCCTTTCATTTAAAAAATTATTCAAAAAATTCGCTATTGTCATGTGATGACGAAAAACTTATAATTATTATTTATTGTTATTTTCGCTTATTTTAATTTTGTATTAGGAATTATATTTCAACATCATAATTTTCTTGTATATGAATAGATAAATAAGTTTGAAAAAAAAACAACTTAAGAACGGACAATATTTTAAACCGTGCTTCCCAAGAGTTAATTATAAGGATTCTCGAATAGGTCAGCCTTAATTCGTATATCACGAAACACCTGTACATTAAGATTGATATCTTCGTCAATCAATCTTACTGAACTCATTTTATGTGTTTAAATGGTAATGAAAAACCATTTAAAAACTAAATATTTAAATTTAATAAAAATATGGGTAAAGAGTGTTAAAAAAAAGCAATTTTATTTATTAATATGTTGAGTTAATCCATAGGCGAATCCAGGGATTTTGCTAAGAGGGAGGGAATCAAGCACTAGACGATTTTTTCTCCCCATGAATTTTATAGGAGATCTTTAGGTCCATTGTAGACCTTTAGCTATAATTAGCTTAAAATGATGATATTTATGAGAACAGGAAGTAATTTTCCCCTTTCCCTCCCCACTGGCTACGCGTAAGAGTCAATCAATAATCATTATAAATATAGTATATAAAAAATTAAAAGCTAAAAAAAAAAGAGGAGTTTTCTAACTAAATCAAAAATTCTTCGTATGAACATAAAAAACAAAACCCTTCCCATGAAAAATGATTATCATCATTTTTCCTCTAATAACCTTTTCAATTCCAATAATAATAGTAAATTGACACGTGATCTACATAATATAAATTCTTATACTATATACTCAAAAGCGACACCATTATTATATATTTCTAATTAGAATCGACTCTCCTAACTGATTCTACATCAAACCCGGGGTAAGTTTTAAACTTTTCAGGACCCATCCTAACTTCTGTGTATGTGTAAATAAATGATCTTCCTTTTAAAAATGTTTTTTGAATTTTTAACTTTTTTTATTATTTATGTATTAATTCCTCCTACACAATTTTATCCATCCTTTTCTGAATATAAAAAAAATACATTAAAAGGTTTGATTATATTAAAATATATATATATACAACATAATTCGCCAAATAAATATTTTCAAAAAAAAAATTAATATACACACCATCGAATATTTTTGAAATCTTTTAAGAACACATTTTCTTGAGATTCAAAAATTTTAGTCTCTCTGCCGTCTTTTTACTCTTGAGATCGGTAACAGCTGTTGTTGTAATTGTGTTATTTTTACATTGTATAATACGACTATTTGAACTATTAGAACAATATCCAATGTTAAATCGAATAATGTTTAAATTAATAGATTATATGTAATATCTTATGACAATATGGATAATGCGTGTAAAAGACATCAAGAGATGATCAATCACAAAAGTTGTATTTTACCCTCTATCTCAGAATTAAAAATGGTGAATATGTAGCTAGAAATTTCAAATAAGACTAACAACTAACACTAACCTTAGCATACACCCGCTCTTATGAAAATAATGAGATATCGCGTTTCACATCATTTAAGCCGTTTAATTATTTAAATATATTTTAAATCAATAAGATGTTCCCTGAAAAATTTAATAACTTCAAAAGAAGGAGTTTAAATCAAAAGAATACGTAATTACGAGGTAGTAGGTTTCCTTCTTTGTGAGGCGCTTGTCTCACCCTGCGGAAGGTTAGAATCGATTTTTTGGCTAGTCTTGGATTATTGTTGTAAGAGAGTAGATGTCGCCTATCCAATGGTTCAATGCTCAGGAAAGGAGTGGTAGTATTTTCGGGAGTCGCTAAGGGTGCAAGCCTACCCTCCAAATCCGTGCGCAGGTCGAGTCTGAGGCCCGACTTGAGATTTTTGGAGATACGGTTTACATTTCGTGAATCGGAAAAATGGTCGCACGAACCATTTAACAACGGGGTTGGTATTGCCCTCTTTAGAGTGCTCGAACATTTGATATCCTCCATTGCTACTCCCGCGCGAGATGTGATCGGTTGGCCCATAATTATGGAGGCAAAATTTTTATCCGCAGTTATGGAACATTTTATAGTTGGGTGACATTCAGAGGGAATAATATTTAGAGAACGATCATTCAAAGTAGCATCGTTGGACAGTAGTGTACCAGTAGTTACTTTTTTAGTCAGGTCATGGCACTTTATCGGACTAGATACGGAGGCGATACCGTAATTTCTATTACATGAATAGGGTATAATGTTAGAGTAGGAAAAGGATGGGACTATGGTGACATTTCTCGAGGAGGCAATATTTAAGAGAAACATTTTTGGGTTCGGTTTTGATAGGCGCGGGAGATGGTGAATAGATTTTCTCATCACCGTTTTTCGACGAGTTCGCGTATTCAGATATATTTCCTTCGAAAACCGACGAATCATCTAAAGTTGCCGCAGCTGATACACCTTGCGTAGCGATGTTCCCGTTTTTGTCGCGATATGAACATTTGGCGTTTTTCTTATTCCTGGATAACCAATGTGCCTCTTTTCGGGGTAATGATCTCGAAAGGTAATGCGCATGCGCGCTTTTATTGTTAATTATAGGCGTTTCATTTATGGTGGGCGAAGAATCGCTCTTGTGTAAATTATTCAGCCATAAGGGGGAATCTTGCTTCTCAAAGGAGACTATCAACCGCTTAACCTTTTTATTTTTTTTGAGATTATTAAGAATAACGGTTCTCGTGGTATTCTCCTGGCGATAAGATCTAATCTTTAAATTTCCCTCGAAACCTAGTGGATCATTATTTTCAGAATGATTTATTTGATTCTTTAAATTGTTGAGGGTGGCAGATGGAATTTCGTTGGCGCACTCTTTAATGTTCGACGGCGACGAATGCTTAATACAGCTACCTTCATAATCTACAAATCGTTGCTCACCGGAAAATTTAGCGAGTGTTTGAGCCCGGATACTGGGAATATCAATATCTGGTTTTCTAGGATCCTTGATCATAGACTCTCTAATAGGTTGGAATTACGAATAAAATATAATTTTTGATAACTTTTTTTAAATTGAATTATCAATAAATAAAAATTAATTCATTTTGATAAACTATTTAAGCTGTTCAAACAAAGATACTTGAAAAAAAAGCATTTCTATCACTTTCCATAGAAGATTTTAAATCAGCACTTCCCTGACTAGAACTAGATTTAATATTGCTTATATATATATATAATTATTGTTTTAATAATGTAACATAATATACAATGTATTTTGATTTTTGACTGAGTGAAGCCTTTTGATAACCCTCACTGGTAACATATCTTGGCCAATGGTCACATCGATCCTCAGGGGATAGCGTATCTGTGTGAATACAAAAAATAAATTAATAAATAAAGCAGGTGTATTACTATGTTTTTTGCACATTACTTTACTATTAGGCTTAAAATTGGCAAAAGTTTTTACTACAAGTTTATACAGCTGTTTCTCGTTGATTGACATTGGAAATTTATTAAGATTTCTAAATATTATTTTTTTAAATAATAATAATTATTATATATAGAGGTTATATTGAGGTCTCAAATACTTGGAGATTCGAAGTCACTCAATTTTATGACACTTGATGACGGCGATAAATTGTATTTTTAATAAAAATTTGACCGGAAATGCATACAAGATTCTTTAGAGGAGTTAAACCTACCCTACGGATCTGAAACACTTGATATTAGAATCATAAAAATGGAGTACTTCGAAGGTTAAAGGAAAAATTGTCCTGAAATTTACAGTGTGGGGTACTTCATCCTCGCTGGAATTGTATTTCCGGTCAAGTTAGATTTTTTTTAAATTCAAGAATCGCCTCGAAGTATAAATGATATAAAGGTGAGAGATTCCGAATTCCGATTATAATGTCTCAATGCGACATATATATATATCAGAGACCTGCGACCCTGTCCTGCCCGGGTACATAGGCCGGTCATGAATGTGGGCCGTGCCGGGCCTAAAAATATAAAACCCTGGCCGGACCGTGCTAATGGGTACCTCTGTAATAGACTTAAATTGGGTTAAGTGGCATTGTAAAATTAAATGAGACTGCTTTTAAAGAAACTTGTGATCGTAATTCAGAGTCTTGGAAGGAATCTTCCCGAATCTTCCAGCGATCATGGGCGAGCTCCATCGAAGCTTTAACAATATATTCCAAAAAAATATATTGATGGTCGATTATTGCTTAATTTGGATAACCCATTAATCCTTATTTATATTATAATAAAAACGCTATCGTCATTTATATAGAATTGGAGGGTGGTCCGGGGTAGGTTTGATTTGGATGTCCTATTTTTGCTAATTCTAAATTTGAATTTACCATTTTTTTTTTAACCTTGATAGGAGTAGATAGGGGGGTATGGGGAAGTGAAATATTAGAGTCTGTCTACTATATTAATACTGCTAAAGGCTAGATATTTAACACTACTTAGTTAGGCTTCTTAAAAACCATACTTTCACCAAAATCCTATGTTGGAATAGTATTAATTCCACGTTTTATTATAGTTAGATAATTATGATACAAGTTATTTTTAATCATAATTTAAATTTTATTACATGATAAATTATATATTTTTTTTATCCCTTTATACATATCTTTTTTTTTTAAAACAAATAATAAAAAAAATATAACTATTACAAATTGATGTATATATATAAAAAAAATGTTAATATAAAAATTTTCACCGATTAAATTTAAAATACAAATTGATATATAAAAAAAATAAAGCGATTGCCAAAATAAATAATAAAATAACGTCGATCAAAAAGAGAAGAGAAGAGAAGAGAAATGGGATAGTTGTTATCAATGACATATAATAATACCTGGAGCTGACGACGCCTTCATAAATAATGTATATGAAAGCGTCGGTTGAATGCGAATCAGCTGGAGCCGCCATTTTGGTAACTCGTATAATAGTAATTATTCTCATGTTAAAAAAAACTACTATTAAATTGATAACTTGCTTTCCTTATTACCTCGATGATCAATTTTTAAATTACGATATGGTTAACCAACATGGCGTCCCTAGCTGTTTTTCATTGATGCACACTTTTAATGAATGCGTGTCATTGGTTGTTTTATTATAATTATACCGGAAATATATCTCCATCTCTTTGAATCTTAGAAACCACATTTTGTTCTAATAAAAATAAAATATATTGATAATTAATTTGGGAAAAGGTATATATCATTTTTAATATTTAAATAAAATAATAAACTGGTTTGTTTGTTAAAAGTTTTTAAAAAAGACGCAAATGAGAATGGCTAATTGAAGATCGAAGAAAAAAATAGAATAGAATAGAATAAAATAGAATAGAAAAAGAAAAAGAAAGGAAAGGAAAGAAAAATAATCACTCATTTCTAGCCCTTACCTCTCATGCGGTAATCATTCTCTTCCACGCTTTCTTCGTGCACATGATTGGCAAACATTTTACAAGATCGTTCATCATCAATCCGTTTGGTTTGTTTACTCTTGTTGTGACCGAGACTTATAATTATTATTTTTTTTTTTTTTAAAAATAAGGAATTATTTTGATCAATATCAACACTCTCTTTCCGGTCACCACTAGTGTTGTTAAAGGGCTCGTTTTGAGCCGACTTCTAAAAATGGCTAACCTCGATATTTCAACCAGAAAAAATATTGCCAGCATGAAGATTTTGTTCTTAGAAGGAACAAAGGTTCCTAAGAATATTATATTATCGAAATCTCGAGGAATGTAATTATAGTTGGGTGAGCAAATTGTTCTAATAAAAGGGGCTAAATCTACTTACAAGTGCGCGGAAGATAAATTTTTACTGAAGCATTGGAAAATTGCAGTTTGCAAGATGGTAGATTTATTTAAATTTCTATTGGTTTATTTATAATCGCCAATGACCAATCAGGGTTCGATAATTTATTAATAAAAAGATTAAATATCTCTCAAACTTTCGAATAATCCTAACCTAAAGCTCTGGCCTTTAACCCATTCTTACTTCAGATATTTGTTAAATTCTAAATATATTTCTTCCATTTCCTGCAGTTTGAATATAACTTGAGTTGAAGCTTTCTTTCTTTCTTTCTTTCTTTCTTTCTTTCTTTCTTTCTTTCTTTCTTTCTTTCTTTCTTTCTTTCTTTCTTTCTTTCTTTCTTTCTTTCTTTCTTTCTTTCTTTCTTTCTTTCTTTCTTTCTTTCTTTCTTTCTTTCTTTCTTTCTTTCTTTCTTTCTTTCTTTCTTTCTTTCTTTCTTTCTTTCTTTCTTTCTTTCTTTCTTTCTTTCTTTCTTTCAGGATGGTACAGAGAAAAATTTTAGAATTTTTTTCCCCTTATTTTTTTGTAAATTTTAAGATATAGGATTTCGAATAAATTTATTTTTACAAAAATTGAGTCCCCCAAATTTAGAAAAACCTTTTTTTTAATATTAAAATTAATATTCTATTCGGAGTTGTCGGACCGAAAAAGATTCGGCTTAGTTCCGGTTTTTAAATATCGGTTTCTAGATTTACCCGGTTTCTAGACTTACGGGTTCAAACTCAATCCTATCCGAAATATCCGATATTTCTCTGCGGACACAAATTTCCAATCGTATAAGTTTTTTTAAAAAAAGATCGGTTTTTCCCAAAAAATTAATGTCAAAAAATCAAATTGGAAAATGCAACAATGCCCTGAATTACCTATACGTAAATGTGAAGAGAAGAAGAAGAAAAAAATTAAAAACCCATTATGGGAACTATGGGAACAATGGACGTCCATATTGCATATGGCGCAAAGCAAATCATCGAAGGTATTCTCCATTTTGAACAATCTCTGATCCCTTTCCTCGTTTTTCTTTTCGTTCGCGAGCATGAGGTCGATGGCGCTCTCCCAAACCGTACTTATAAAAAATTACAAAAAAAAAAAATTAATATTTTTAAAAATTAAAATAATAGGAAAAAGAATTTTAAAATAAAATAAAATATTGAAATAAGAGTGGGCATAACTAATAAACTAATACCCTCTTAAAAACACTTCTCTATTTAAGAGTATCCTCTCCTCCGGTTTGCTTCGAATATCCAGAATTCGAGGAATTGTCTAGTAATTAAAAGTTTTCATTTTCTGTCCCATGGCACCAAGAAATCATATGAGACTTCTTGGGATCATATGAAGATTCAAACTCAAATTGTAAAATGTTATTCGGGCCTTGGTCGGATTGACTAAAAATGTGTGCCGACTTTGGTCGGGCTTTGATAATTAAGTTTTTAAAATTTTCCAAAACCATCCCTAGAAAGTTGCCATTCCATTTTTACCAGAAAATTTATTCTCCCTAAAAGAGATACAATTATTACCCATATTTCTTTCGATTATCGATTATATTATTGACCTAGGACCTAACGGCCCTTACATCAATCCCAGGGGATTCCGGCAAATCCCTAATATGGGATTGCATTGTGCCATTGATCTTATCATTCCATACAATTTTTTTTTAAAATAACTTTAAGCCAATAAAATACAAATTTAAAAAAAAAACAAAAAAAAACTTTATATTAGACAAAAAAAAGAGAAGATCAAAATTGGAATTTCCTTAACATGGGATCTAAATCACTAGCTCAATTACGATTAACGCTAATCGCGTCGCGGTATAGAGAGCTGGAGTATTTTATGCAATAATTATTTGCGTTTTTATATAATATATATATATAATATATATATATAACATTTATATAATAAGCCAAAACTTGTTTCAATGTATTTAAATATTATATTAATCTATAATTAGATTTAGCTTGTCTTAATTCTTTTAAAAAAATTTTTAAATACCTGTTTCAGAAAAAATGATTTATTTCAAAAATTTATAAGAAAGAAAGACAGAAAGAAAGAAAAAAGAAAGAAAGATAAAAAGAAAGATAAAAAGAAAGAAAGAAAGAAAGAAAGAAAGAAAGAAAGAAAGAAAGAAAGAAAGAAAGAAAGAAAGAAAGAAAGAAAAAGAAAAGAAAGAAGAAGAAGAGAAGCCATTTATAAATGCATCTTGAAAATATTTATCACTCAATGTTATAAAATCTATCATTTATATAAAATAGGAAATAAACCATTAGCTTAATCTATAATTTATAATAAAAAAAGGGAAATAAGTGCAACATTAAATGTATTTGGAAGATACACTTAATGTTTATAAAATCTATGATTTAAATCAAAAAAAATACAAAAAAATGGTATGCTGATTAGAATTCAGATATTAAGAACAAATATTGAGCCGAGCAAGGATGCCTTAATTCTAAATATATTTCATCCAATTCAAATAACAATTTCCTGCAGTTTGAATATTGCTTGAGTTGAAGCTTTCTTTCTTTCTTTCTTTCTTTCTTTCTCTTTCTTTCTTTCTTTCTTTCTTTCTTTCTTTCTTTCTTTCTTTCTTTCTTTCTTTCTTTCTTTCTTTCTTTCTTTCTTTCTTTCTTTCTTTCTTTCTTTCTTTCTTTCTTTCTTTTCTTTCCTAAAGTTCAGTTCATCATTTGCTCAGCTGTTTATACCTGTTTTATCCCTTATGGTCTTCTTGACTAAAAACTCACTTCTATAACATATTCTTCTTTGAGCTATTATCATTTCTAGAATGACATTCAAACTCAAAAATTATAAAAGGTTTACATTTTACAAGTTTTTCAAAATAGAACGTATAACAAATAAAACAAGAAGATAATAATGTCCAAATAAAAAAAAACAAATAAAAAACAATGTTATTTCATACATCTAAGGAGCTGATATGATCCACAATCATGCCCATATTCCTATCAACTTTCTTCTTGTACGTTATAAATAACTTCAGTAATACGGTATCGAAATATTTTATATGTTCGAGGTCTAGCTTCAATGCCTCCAATCCGTTTAGCATTTCTGACACCAGAACCCTCGAACCCTTAAGAAATATATATAGATTTTATTATAATGATTATGAAAGATAAGGACAGATATTTATTAAAGAACTCACAATTTCCGAATTCAAATCCACCATCTTATAAAAGTTTCGCACTGAAATATATTTAATGATATTTTAATATCTTTCTATCTTTTTAAGGTTTTAGAAAATACTATTCGAAATACTTATTTATTACAAATATTTTATGTGGGTGAAAAGGATGATGATATTTATGTAACATAATGAATTTGTCATTATTAGATTTTGTAAATAAATTCTCAAATAAGATATTAACATTGATATTACGTTCAAAAATGGGGATAAAAATCAATATATGATATATAAAGATTAAACTTATTTTATTATATATGTAAGGCTAAACGCCTAAATTTTTCCATTTAAAAATTTTTTATATTTTAATAATAACACATAAATCGATATTTATTTTTTAAAAAAAAACAACTTTATTTTAAAAAAAAAACAAAAAAAAACATTTTTAATGTCGTACATTAGTTAGTTTTTATTTTGTGACGGAGAATGTGAAAAGGAAGTGTATCAGAAAAATTATGGAAATACTTTTTTAAAAATAGTTAACAGATACTTTTACATTATCTTTTACTAATAATTGTAAAAATCGATTTTTTGACTTTGTCCACTTTGGGCTGAAGATAAGCTCAGTACATGATGAGAGTAACGATAATATCGAAAGTTAGGATACATTTTGTATGGTTTAGAACCAGGGACCCCCCCCCCCCGGAGTGAACCGTAACGAACCGTTAAAAACCGTTCAACCGAACCGAACCGAACCCGATATATTTATTTTTTGAAAGGAGTAAAAAGAATCTTTATAAAAAAAAGGTTGTTTTATATATTTTAGGGATCAAAAGTATTTGAATATCCAGAATTATACAATGTCGCTCTTATAGTACTGGCTGTTTTCGCAACACAAGTTTCTGTAGAAAGGGCTTTTTCGGGGCTAAAATTTGTGTTATCGTCACACAACGAACATTTAAAAAATGAGTTATTTTGAATCTTATATATATATTTTTTTTATATACATAATTCAATAGATGCTTATAATAAAAATGAATTAGAAGATGGTGTTGGTTGCTTCAATAAAAAAATAAAAAATTTCTAATCCGTAATGAACCTTTATAATTAGCTGAACCAAACTGAACCGTTATAAATAACGGTTAGAGTCCCTGTTTAGAACAAGTGATTATACGTTAAACAATTAAATTCAATAAGATATATAAATTAAATATTTTTTTTTTGGGGGGGGGGGGGGATTTGTTTATTAATAAAATTTATTGCAATATATATATATATCTTTCTTTCTTTCTTTTCTTTCTTTCTTTCTTTCTTTCTTTCTTTCTTTCTTTCTTTCTTTCTTTCTTTCTTTCTTTCTTTCTTTCTTTCTTTCTTTCTTTCTTTCTTTCTTTCTCTTTCTTTCTTTCTTTCTTTCTTTCTTTCTTTCTTTCTTTCTTTCTTTCTTTCTTTCTTTCTTTCTTTCTTTCTTTCTTTCTTTCTTTCTTTCTTTCTTTCTTTCTTTCTTTCTTTCTTTCTTTCTTTCTTTCTTTCTTTCTTTCTTTCTTTCTTTCTTTCTTTCTTTCTTTCTTTCTTTCTTTCTTTCTTTCTTTCTTTCTTATACCCGATAAATTTCAGACAATTTTGCCAATGAACTTTTTGAACTTGATTAGAATTTATATAAAAAATCTCCCGTAAATTTCTATTTATATAAATTATAAATGATTCAAAACTCTAAGAGCAACATTGTTCTAAGATTCATAAGAAAGGTATTCCAAAGATTATAGAATATATTTCCGGTTAAAATCCAATTTTTCAAATTTAAAAAACGCGCCCAAAAAATGATTCAAAAACATGAAAAAATTAGATGGGTTAATATGTACCCCTTGAAAAATTCAGTAAACCTATAATTCTGTTCGCCATTTTAAAATAAAAATATTTGAAAATGGTTGGACATAATCTTTGCTTTTTTTTTGCAAAAACTGAGAAATCAAACGGTGCCCAAATTATACAGGTTTTAACGGTTATTTAAAAAAATTTTCTGTTTTCTCCCTTATGGAGTAAAAGAAATTGTCACAAAAAATTTATCCACTTTCAAAATGGAGTTGTTCATAAAATTTTACTTTCCTCGTGTAGAACAAAGAAAATTGTCGTTATCTTCCTTAATTTTTCATCATAAAACCCTTTTCATCTGGTAAAAACTGGTTGAAAAATATGTTTTTACTTTTCGAGTGCTTTGGCGCCATCTAGCGTTAAATACTTTATTGAAAAAATAGTAATATAAAACATTTCTCACATTATTTTTTTGATTATTAAATCTAAATAAGATGTCAAACATATCTAGACCAAATATTTCTAGATATAGATGATATAATTACTGTGATATATGGTATATCTTTTCCAAATTTATATTCCAAATAATAATATGGGAACCATTTTTAAATCAAAACATTTATTATATAAGGCTACTCAATAATCATCAAATAATTTTGCTGTATCTGTCAGTTTGTAATTGACAGGTGATATATAACATATATATTTTATTTAATTTTTTTAAGTTATATTATTTCTTTTACCTTGAATTAATATTGGCTAGTCTGCGATACCGATTTAACAGCTGATAGATTTTTTTTAAATCTGTTTATTTATGAAATCAATTTTTATTTATTATTTGCTAGATTGTCAACATGATCAAGAAAGCTGTTTATACAAAAACAAATAGATGTAGCCAATTTAAATAATGTTTTGTTTGTTCCGGTAGTCTAAGAAACCTTTGGATCATTTGGACCCCAAGTCTCAAAATTATTCAAAACAATAGGGCAAAGTTAATCACGGGATATCCAAAAGATGGCTTCACTTCTACCTACGACAAAGAATATCAATCGAAATTTGTCATTCAACTGTATACCCATACATGGGTCATTAAGCCCCGCCGAACCATATCTAAATAGATGTTTTTCTTTTTGGCTTTCACCTTTTCTGGTGGTAAGAATATCTCTCTCCACTTTATGTTATTCGTGCTATCTCTTTTATCTAATTTATATTTCTTC